GGAGACTCCTGGAAGTCACGGGGCAGGTGCCGTGAGGAGACACTGAGAGACGCACTCAGCCCCCAAAGCGGGGTGGGGCATGCAGTGGGGATCGCCCCATTATCTTTCCAAGGATACTCTCATGTTGAAGGGGGTGTGGACCTCCTTGGGTGCTGGGGCGATCGTTTCCCGCTTCTCGTCCCCCAATAGGTATTAAAAGAATATACTAGTTTTTAGAATGATCAGAAGGTCGAGACCACCAGGGGTGCTCCGCTAGGACGCTCACTGGCCTCCAGCCCTTCCTTTGGGTGGAAGTAAGGGCCACGGATCTCCAGCCGCTGCGACGTCTCCCTGCAGCCACTTGACGTCCACTTCCTAGGAGCATGCTATAGGGTGTCAGCATGCTCAACTCAGGGCATGAGGTTATGCCCACCTGAACACCCCCCTATGTTCTTCCACTCGCCGTTTGAGTCACAGCCTACCTGAACCCAGGTGCAAGCACATTCACACTGTATTACCTCCGCAGCCGAGTTCACGTGCAACAGGTGCTGGAGAGGGGCTCCTTGAGACTGCCTAATAAGAGCTCTCCTGCGTTCAGCGACTGCGCACATGACGTGCCAGGGCCCAGACTAGGCCTTCCACGCGGTACCTCAAACCCTAGCCCGATGCAGGAGGCCGTGAGTCTCCTGCTGCTGCTGAAGAAAGTGAGAAACAAGAGACTTTTCCAGAGTTATGCCACTGTCCCCCCAGATTCTCTATGCCAGGTTTTTCTATATCCCATGCGTCAAAAACAACCGAGGCTCCCAAGCGAGGTCCTGGGGTCTGAGAAGAGGCAGAGAAGCGTCCTAACCGGGTAAAGGAGGGTGGGCCACACCCCGGCAAGATGTCCCACCCATGTGACCCTGCTCTGCTCCCAGCCATACCCCCGCCCTGCGCAGACATGTGATTGTGCAGTGAAGAAAACAAGTCGCAATCAAGAGCTGCAAGGGGGTGCTGTCGGGTAGGTGCTGGACTGCCAACTGCAAGGTCGACTGTTCAAACCGACCGGCCACTCGCTCCACAGCAGAAAGATGACCCGTAAAGATGGATGGGCTATGGAACCCATCCATCCCGTAAACCCGCACAGGGTCGCTGCCCGTCAAAAACAACACAGTTTGGAGGGTTATGGAGCTCTGGTGTCATTGCGATTTAAGTATCGGCTACTAACATTAGCAAGAGGTTGGTGGTTCAAATCCACTGGCTGCCCCGTAGGAGGAAAATGAAGCTGTCTACTCCCACAGTGGTTGAGTCTCAAAGGAGCAAATGTTGTACAATTCCACTGATACGGCAAAGAACCAAGAGACAGCTTTCCACGCTGTAAGAAATGGACGTTGGCGGGTGTCCGAGGAGGGAGGGAGTGTGGGGAGGCAATGGGTAGGGGTCGGGACGCTTTTAAGACGGAAGAGCCAATCCTGGCCCTCACAGCCACTTAA